TTGGGAGCGCTGACGTCGTCACTGTTAGCCACGAATCCAATATACAGCTCTCCAGCTGTGACGAAGACAAGCTCAGTGGCCAGGTTGTGATTGTGTGGCGCAATGACACCACTTGAAATCAAATCAAGGCGCACCAACGAAACTCCGAGCGTGTTCAAAGCAGGCCAATGACGGGCGAAGGCGAGAGTTGCCGCTGCGCCACAGGGACTTTCATCTGATATGATGCTCGCATCTTTCAAGCCCTTGAAGATGAAGTCTTCTACCACGGCTGTTGTGGGATCCTTGCACGGGTAGCCATTGAAAAACGACCCCTGACTAAGGTCTGCGATATAGAAATCCTGGAGGGGGTCTGGATCAGCTACTTGGACAGGACTTGCCACCAGTATGAACATCGTCAATAAAACCAAATGGCAACACGCAGGTCCCATGATCCGCACAAGCCCCATCACTGAGTTCGATGGTGTAAGAAGATTTGAACAAGAAGATTGTCGCAACCACCAAGCTTCTTAAAGATTCAGTACAATTCGAGGCAGTATCGGGATTTAAAAACACTGGAACTTCACTCTGACACTCTGGGATATTTTTGGATTTCAACTCATTGATATGGGTGAAAGATTTTGGCAGTCCTAGGAGTACACTGGAGCTGTGATTGTCAGCTGCGAGCCCTTGGGACTTTATACACCAGTTTGGGTGGAAGTGAAGGAAGCGGTGGTGAAGTATCCATCGCACCTGCAGTAGCTAGGACCAGATCCTATTCCATAAATCAAGCTTGAAGTAAAGGGCTTTTCCAGACAGGAACACCCATTGCAAAGTAAGCCTTTTGCCGAATGATGTCACGTAATTCCAGACTCCAAGACTGTACGAGGCAATCCAAATCCACTGGAGTCGCATGGTATATTCCGAGCACTTCAAGCTGTCTTGTGAGCCTTAATATAGACAATTCTGGCTAGATTTTGTGTTTTGATGATTATTCGTGAATTATATAGAGCTTAAATCAGACCAGGGTTAGTAATGGAAAGAGACCTTATAGAGCGCTGTGCATGGAAACATATGAAAAACATTAAGGTCAAATCCCGAGTTGGAAGGGTCAAATCCACTAGAGCTGTACGCCTAAACCCCACTTGTATGTGCGGGCCTTGCAAGATGGAATATTTAGAGGCAACTGGTTGTTATAGTTGAATTGTTAGTCCATGCATATGACCCATAGCTACAAGATGAAACCTTTAGCGAATCTAGATGGCCTTTGGGAGACACAGCCAGTGTCTCTTGCACATTAACGACGCATGGTCATTATGAAAAAACTCGAGCTAGACTTGAGAAGTGATAATCGAGAATTTGACGTAAGCTTTGACAGATATGTCATCACCACGTCACGCTGCAGTCCCCATACAAAAAATACAAAAATTTATCATCTAATTCTAATTGGAGAGCATGTCAATTTTCCTTGAGACTATAGATAGTGTTCCCAATGAAACCGTTCATATTGATATAGAATATAAGTGAATGTAGAATTATCCTTGTCTATTTGGAAAGACTTAAAATATCTATATTTCCAATAATTACACTATATTTCATAATCTAGAATAATTCACACCACTAGCATATCCAAAAAAAAACGACAATTCTTGGATCTATGATACAACTTGATCTTATTGGTTTTAGATATGACAATATAAGTAACATAATAAGATATTTTTGAATAATGATAATTAGGATTTTGTTCGTGATTCAGTTTAAATAGGATAAAAAAAATATTACATTAAAGGTGAAAAGAATTTTCAGATACAATATTCACAATTTCAGTTTAAATGACTTAATATATTGCGCACCTTCTTCAACATTTTATGATTAATTTTATAGAAAAAATCTTTTTCTTGCGAATTACAAATTTTTATGAGATGACAAAAAGTCTCGTACATTTTGCAATAAACATAAAAATTTCTAAATATTGTTTTTTTCATCATTATTCACGGGGCCGGCTTGTTATCCCTCAATTTGTGCTGCTGTAATTATTTCTTGTCTAATTCACAGCCAGTGCTACGGCTGGGAGTGTTGCGCTGGCGAGTACCTCCGAATACAACCAATTTGTTCCAATGGGAATATACAAGATCAAGTCCCTTGATAGCTCTATCTTTCTTGTTACCAACATGCGTTTGCGCTTTATCACAAAAGCGTTACCCGGAATCAACGTGTAAGCTTGCACTTCCGATAGCGTAGCGTTTAATGTTACGTGAAAGACCTCGGGCAGTGGAGCAAGCGTGTTCATATTGAAATGAGATTTCTCTGACCAATCACAAAAGTTTTTTCTTAAGCAATTTATATAATTTTTGTAGAGTGAAGGATAATTAGCATAATTGAAGAATAAATAGCAGATATTCAAGCATAAAACTTCAGATTGTGTCAGATCTGAATTTTATTTTGAGCTTTTTTGCTTTTCAAACTTGTACATAGCTTAGATATTTGTTTGAAACAATTAATTTTAAAAAAAAAATCATAATTGTCAAAAAATTACACATATAAATTTCATCATATAAATTTCAAATAATGGTAATTTTGGAAATATTTTTTGCACGTCTTATAAATCAAGTTTATATCCTCAAGTAAATATATAAATTGAAAAATCCAACATTAAAAAAATTTCTATGATGTTTGCTCATAACACAGTGTTTACAAAATTCTGAAATAACTTTACCAATGTAAGATGTTTCTAATGCCAAGGAATATATTTCTATAGGAATATCAAGTATCTATTTCTCATGTATTAATCACGAATGGCTAGAATTTCATGCATTTATCATCTCATTTTTAATTGTAGTAGAGTTGAATTCATCACACATGATATTGTATTCTAACAAATGAAAATTATGGTGCTTTAATATTCTTGATATATTTTTTCACATATTCTCACCTCTATATTATCAGATATTATTACCTCATCACATTCTAGTATTATACAATACTTTTCACAAACTTTGGAAAAAATTTCTTTCAGATTCATAGTCTTAATTGAGAAGGAAAAAAAAATGTCGTTGTAAAATTTTTCTAAATTTCTTTTCAAGATACTCAATATAATACTCATTGCAATTTATTTGTAATAAATTTTAGTCATTCAGAATATCTGTAGTTTATTTTCATATGTTCAAATTTGCATAAGAAAAATCAAATTTGCATTTCATTGATAACTTTGGAATTTTTTGAAACACGTTCATGTATTATGTAAAATGATAACAAACGATTACAAAATATGTGATTGCCAAAAATCCAACATCTCCTGGACATTCGACTATAAAAAATCAATAACAAACTTTAAATCAATTGAATATTGATAACTAGTCACAAAATAATAAATTTTCAATAGAAGTGAAAAATATCAGTTGAATTTTTATTGAATTACAAAATAATTATTGTCATACACAATCTTTAGAGGATTCTCCTTGTTTTATCTAATTAAATAGTTTGTTGCTCAATTTGATCATATCACTCAAATTTAGTCATGATTAATATGAATTAAATCAATAGTTACTATATTTTAAAGTAATTGCAAGATAGCAATTTGAAAATTTTTGATTTTTTCCGTCAGTAAGATCCAGAATGAAGATCTCATATTCTTTTATAAAGTTTACTTGAGAAGTGATTTACTGTAGATATAGGTTGAAGATTATGGACTCTGACCAGCCAAACTTGAAACAACAAACCCTTGTAGTTCTGTTGTAAACAAGTTGGATTATGAATGTCGAACTAAGTTGAAAAAGTGATGGTGACGATCAACCAAAGTCATAAATTAGCAACTAGAGGAATCGTTTGGAGTTTTAAAAAAACATTGAATACAGTATCTACTTAATTTGTATATCTACAATCCAACATTTAGGAGGTATTTGAAAATTTTTCTCTTCGCAATTTGATGTTTAAGTTTCTCTATTGAGAGGTATAAATAATGAGTGAGAGATTCGTTGATCAAAATATGGATCATAGAACCTCCATGTTTAGTCATAGGATAAAGTGCAAAGTATTTTTTAACTTGTTTCTTGTGTTCAGTAAATTTTTACAAAAGCATGTAAATGATCAATGATGTTCACTTGCATGGCTTCATAGTGTTCCGAGACACTTTGCTACACTTATTTCAACCACAAATCTAATGAGAATTTATGTTGGATACGTGGGCAGATAAGTACAGTAATCACTTGTAGATACTTCGGACTTCTCAATAAGAGAAATGATAATTGAACAAACTTTAAGAGTGATAGATTCTGACGAAGCAATGGTGCCAGGATTGGATCAAGGTATCCACCTTGATACATAAAACAAAAAAAAACACTTTAATGTAAAGACAGAGACGTTGTGAATTTTTCCACTCTCTTTGAAATTTGAAAAGGTTTAAATTAGAACAGCTGGATTGTAAGCCCATTTGGAGTGTGAAAACGAAAGAGCTCGTGGAATGTTTGGGTCGATGAGCTGCGAATCATGTCACTCCGCCATGTGAAGGTCAGGAATGCGATGCACGAGAGAATGTCAGTGTTAGCGCGCCGGCGATGGTGAGAGTCCGAACGCAGAGAGTCGCAGCAGCGAGTGGCCCGAATGATTGCAGGCGGAGGCGCAAGCTCCCAGGTTTGAGAAAGGTCAACTTGCACCTGCAGATCTCAGCGCGAGCGAAGTCGCGAGCAATTGATTGGGGCACATGATATAGCGACATGCACGATCGCTTGGCAGTGCACCAGAACTGGTGACAACATTCGCAGAAAGCGAACACATTGTTTCGTGAGCTAGAAGGTTTCGATGATTTGGGTCTCGGAGCGTCAGTGGAGGCTGGGCGGCCGGGTCATAACACGTCTCCGATTCGACGACGACCTCCTCGTACGATGTCAAAAGCAGCAGCCCAGCTTCCTCTCGACTGCAGCGCTGCTTGAGGTCCGAGGTTTGCAAGTTGGGTGCCGGCTGCCTAGAAGTTCTCTTCGCCTGCTCCGGAAGGCCATCAGAATCGATTCGCGATGCGATGCACGAGAGAAGGCCACTGACAGCGCGCCGGCGATGGTGAGAGTCCGAGCGCAGAGAGTCGCAGCAGCGAGTGGTCCCCATGATTGCAGGAGGAGACGCAAGCTTCCAGCTTTTGAGAAAGGTCAGCTGGCAGCTGCCAATCGAAGCGTGAGCGAAATTGCGGGCAATTTATTCTACGACGTCTTCCTCGTACGATGTCGAAAGCAGGAGCCCAGCTTCCTCTCGACCGCTGCTTGAGTTACGAGGTTTGCGAATTGGGTGCTGGCTGCCTAGAGGTCCTCTTCGCTTGCAATTCACGCAATCGGAATCGATTCGCGGAGACGATGAAGCGGGTGCCACATGCGCTCATGTGTCGCCCGAGACGGAGACATATTTCAGGTTCACCTAACCAGAACTACCACACATTAATGTTTCATTGCTTGCTTTCTGGCCTGGGCTTGTGAGAATAATCTGTATAAAGCGTGATTCGATCCAAATCACACCTGTCTCGAGAGATTGTACAGCTTCTTGCTCGATTACCACAAAGTATCTTCGCGTCTAGCAAGATCTTGCTAGACGCAAAGATACTTTGTGGGAATCGAGCAAGAAGCTGTACAATCTCTCGTTAACCTTTTCCGGTTTGAATGCATGCATTCTCTTTTCGTATTGGGAACGACGAGCTGGAATCTGATGACTTTGGGTCGAAGAAGTGAAATGTGCTCACCTCGGGATGCTGGTTCCGACGGTGTATATTCATATCCAGGGAGAGTCGCATGCACACACTGAGAATCTTGAATTGTGAAAGCATCTTCCGCATGTGTACGGTTTGAAGAGTCTACGACTCTTCAAACCGCCTTTCGTGTGCTCCCGAATGCGAGCTGACATGCACGCACAAAAGTCCAGACGATTCCAAGAACTGCAAGTCTGATTGCATGCATCGAACTGTGCTAATGGAAAGGCGAAGGATAGGCTCAATGTTATGGAGTGGAAGGTATGGAATGTGATCATATGCGGATGATAATTTTTCGAACTCGTGAGGGATTTGGCAAATAGACTCGAGGTTCTCAAAGACACAAATGGACCCTGAAGCTTATAAGGTGGGTAACGTAGATACTTGGAATTAAAAAAGCGCCTACTGCGCTGCAAAGTCTGTGTGAGTGATTCAAGCTATGTTTCTTGAGAAATCAGTGCGTTGTAATGTTCTAGAGGCCGTTTAGCTTTGACTATAATTTTAGTCAAAGCTAAACGGCCTCTATTCAATCTTCGATGTTGATCATAGTTCGACCGATGGTATCGGTTGTTTAAGCAATCTGCAATGACGCTAGCATCTCAAGGCATCGAAAGCAATGTTGTTTAAAACTGTGGACTGTTAATTTGTGACAGAAGAAAAAATCCCCCACTTTATCCAGATTCACAATTTCGCACTTCCCATGAATTATCTGCACTCTAAGTTTTGAATATACATAAAGAGTATGTTTATGTCACAAACAGTCAACAGTTTTCCAACTGCATGCTTGCTTATAATGTAGTCATATGTTACCGTGGCGTCTTGACATTGACATCAGCATCAACAACAGGAAGTGACCACATTTGGTTTCCGTGCTAGCATTTCTCTCCTAGAGTAGACCTTCCTGGCTTGAGGGAGACAAAGTCCACCACTATCATTTTGTTCAAACTTTAACCTGTGATCAAAAGAGATGCGAGACTGAATCTGCCGGTGCTCTTAAGTCAAGCACCGGCAGATTTAATCTCCAGTTTCTTTTGGTCACAGGTTGCAGTTTGGATCAAATGCGTGTGGTGTACTTTATCTCCGTCATGCCTCAAGTGTTTTCTTACTTCGGGTCCAAATCTATACTTGTAATAACCCACTAAAGGCTAAAACTGTAATATAGTGGTAGAAAGGTCGAACCCACAAGGACAGAGGCAACACACATGGTACAAAGTGTCACATTTAACACACTATTGAGGAGTTTGAATTCTCAGGCGACTGTCACTCCCAGAAATAGTGCAAATGTTCACTCGGAGGTCGCACAGTGCAGCGTAGTTCACTCAACACACACACACACACACACACCTGAAACTACAGAAACACAACCCAGAGATCGGTTAGGACCTCTACTTAAGATTTCAAGGGGGGGAACGTCTCTCGCGAGCACACTCAGCGAATCTGCGGGTAGTGACTCCCAACTCCGGCTTTTACAACCTGTAATAACCCACTAAAGGCTAAAACTGCAATATAGTGGTAGAAAGGTCGAACCCACAGGGACAGAGGAACACACAGGGTACAAAGTGTCACGTTTTAACAGACTATTGAGGAGTTTGAATTCTCAGGCGACTGTCACTCCCAGAAATACTGCAAGTGTCCACTCGGAGCGCACTCGGAGGTCGCACAGTGCAGCGTAACACACACACACACACACACCTGAAACTACAGAAACACAACCCAGAGATCCGTTAGGACCTCTACTTCAAGATTTCAGGGGGAAGGTCTCTCACGAGCACACTCGGCAAAGCTGCGGGCAGTGACTTCCAACTCCGGCTTTTACAACGCTTCCACTAGCTTGCTGCTAGTGTAGGAAACCCGGTTTGGACTACCTACTTCGGATCGAAGTCCCTCCTACGCGGTGAACAACACTCTCAACTCACAAAACGCGCAGAGAACACAGGTCCGCACTGAAGGACTCACTGTGAAACATTCCAGTAACACAACAACAGTCTATTGAAGAGTTTGAATTCTCAGGCACTTGTCATTCCCAGAAATACTACAGGGGTTACCCTCAAGGCACCTGCTGCAGCGTAACCTGAATTTACAACCAAGGCTTACACGAAGTAGCAAAACTTCACTTTGGCATTCAGGGGAAAAATCCCAAGGAGTACAATCAGAAAGAAACACTCGAAGGTGTAGGGGCGAAACTGTTCAAGTATCTAACTAGTCACTGGCTCTGAGCATCGGCAGTCACCCGCAGGTGCAGATCCGAACTACTCAAGTCTCTAACCAATGTACTAGCTCTGAACATTCGGCCGAAGGCCTTCAGCTACAAAATGCGGAACGCTAAGTTGTAACTCCTCCTGCGTGGTGACAGAACTCAAGGACACAAACACGCAAAGGAAATGGGTTCCTGATCTATACTTCTGAGTTTGGGAAAGAACCCCAGGCAAAACGCCTGGAACTATTTTATACCTTCTAAGTCCTACCAAACACTACACTGCACTACGCTACACGCCTGCACGGAACCACGCTACACTACACTCCGCGGAACCTGTACTGCGTCTCCTGCGCGGCCGACTGCCGCGCACTAACTCCCTACCCTGCCACTCTTCCGCTCGACTGCGCAGTCCCAAACGCTGCAACGCCGCGGACACCTCCCCCTCGAGGGCGGACATGGTATCCTGTGCCTTCGACAGAAAGGCCTCGAGCTTCTTCGCTACCTTCCGCCGACTCCTACTGTCGCCTGACAACAACCCGGCTGCGCGCAATTCAAACTCACGCAGTGTGAGTTTCTCCTGCGCCTTCACTTCCCAGTGGGCGTAGCCCTTGAGACAGTGGGCGACTCGCCTCGCCGTCTCCACCTTCGTGCGATCCTCTTCAATCGTCACTAATTGCGATTCGGCTTCAGCACGTTGCGCCCTCAATTCGCCACACTCTGACTGCAAACTGCGGATTAATTCTTCATCCGCCTGCCGTGCGAGCTGACATTGTTCCAACAACCGCGTCTGTCGCACGAGCTCCTCTGACAAAATCCGATTCTGGGCCTGCTCAGAATCGAGTGCTTCCTTGACCTTCACCTGCTCCTTGGTGAGCTCGCCCAGTTTCTCATCCTTCATCTTCTCGGAGTGCTTGTAGAATTTCTGATTAAGCTTGTACTGACCCCACAAGCACTCATGCTTCTCCTTCAAGTCCCTCAACTCCTGGTCCACTCTAGCTAATAGCTTGCTGGTGTGGACTTTAGTGCGAGTCCGCCTGCGCACTAACTCGATGTAAGATCCCGGCTGGAGTGGGTCGGCGTATTTATCGACCTTGCGATCCAAGTACCGCAGCAACGGAATCACCTGCTCAGAGAGCGCCGCCGCCGGCGCTCCAACAATTTCCTCCTCCTCCTCCTCGGTGTCTTCTGCTCCTGACATTTCTTCCGTGGAGCCTCCGTCGTCATCATCCGAGTGGAGAATTTCAGTCGCCATTGATTGTGTCGGCGACTGCCCCGAGTGGGGCTGCACGTCCTCGACGTGTGCTGCCTGCGAAGGCACGGCTGCAGCCTCGCTGCTCGTTGCCAAAATGTCTAAGGCGGAAGGCGAATGTACCTGTGCGGCATTTCCGTCTCTCGCTTGTTGATGGTCTATCGCATTCTCTCTGTCGCCGTCGTCCGTCGCCGAAGGCGATTGAGCGGAGGGTGGCTGCGCGGGGTTGGATTGCGCGTCGCGCATCGAGATTTCATCCCGCGGACAGTCACTCCGCTCCATCGTCTGCTGCTCCCTCGATCGGTCCGTGGGGGCTGTGCCCGGCCCGTGCGCAGGCGCATTTGCCGGCGCCTTGTCCGTCGCAGGCGTAGCGCCGCGGACATCTATCGCCGAAGGCGACATGGCCGGGGGCCGCACGCCCGATGTTCCTTGGCCTATAGGCCCTACCGCCGAAGGCGCATCTATCGGCGGACTTCCCGCCGATGGTGCGGCCTCCGCACGCTCTCTGCTCGTGTCCCCTCGGCTCGAAGGCCCTGGCGCCGAAGGCGCGAATTGCGGCGCGTGGTGCGCCGGAGGGTCTGGCCCCGAGGGCCGGTGTCTCGTGGGCGGTTCTTCCGCCGGCTCCTTCCCCTTCCTGCGTTGGAACGGGGGTGATTCTTGCCTGTGCACAGGCGGCACGTGCGGAGGTGTTCTGTGCACAGGCGGACTGCTCCTTCCCACGCGTAAGCGTAAATCCACGTCCACTTGTGTTCGCCGGTCCGCGGAGGCTCGTCCGTCCGCGGAGGTTCGCCTGTGCGCAAACGGAACCTCTGTCCGCATCGCACGTGGTAACTCCGGAGGCCCTTGGCCCGTAGGCGGCCTCTCTCCCGACGAGGTTGCAGCGTGGCCCGCTGCTCCTGCGGTCGTCCGCGCTTCCTCTCGCCTCTCTGGCGACGCACTTCCTATCTCCGTCGCAATCGTCGCCGTGTCTGCACTGTCAGCTGGCAACACCAGTCTGCGTGCCTTCTGCTTCGGCCGGCTGTATGGCTCGCACAGCGGCCGCGGTCGAATGGGAGCAGAGAGTTCTTGATGCTGCTCCTCTTCGGACTCTTCCCTCCATCGCCGCTTCCGCGGCACTCGCGCTGCAGGGGTGTGTCTCCCTTCGTCTCTCCGTCTTGATGGGGTAGAAGTCGGGGACTCCTCTGCGTCAGTATCGACCTCGTTCTCCCGCACATACTTCCCGGGATGGTCGATGGACAATGGCGGAAAATGTTCAAGCTCCGCCGCTGTCAAACAATTCCGCTGTCGATAAAAATTGATGAGGAAAGGAGAAAGATGGTTT